AGTGTAATACGATATCATATGAATGAACAAATATATAATATGAATATGTATAATATAATATTATATATATAATGTGTATTAGTCTCAAATCTTATTAACATTTTGAAATTCTAATTTAAAAAATACCATCACATTCTTATAAATATTTTTAAAAATTAACAATTGGATTTAATATTTTATTGACATAAATTATACATATTAATTTTTAAGTTCATTTAACAGTTATAATAATTTAATCAAGAAATTTATATTTTTAAAATATTTAATAATATTAAATTTTGTGTAAATAATAGACTAATTAGATATATTCATTTGATTTGAAAATTAATATGTATAATCTATATAAATAAAATATTAAACTTAACAACTAATTTTTGAAAAATTTATCGAAAAAAGATATTTTTGAAGTTAAAATTCTAATCTTTTAATATGATTTGGGATTAATATCCATTATTTTCTATATATATATATATATATATATCAATTCTAGCAATATACTACCTAAAATGAGTCAACTACTTAGGTGCTCGTTTAATGGCAGGTTATTAAATTAAAATTGTACAATATATCTTAAGGAAAAACATTATAATTAACTCAATTATCTTCTATTATAGAGTTACCAACGTTCTTGTGTTTATTTTATCTCATAAAAATGGAGAAAAAAAATGGTATTTCGTTATTATTATTATTATTTTTTGTTTCATATGGTATTTCGTTATTATTACCATTTTTTATGCTTAGATTTCATTATTAGTATGGTAGTGGAAGTAGTAATTAATGATAATGTGTTTGTATGGAAAAGAAATAAGTCTTTTACTTTACATTTTACTCTTAATCTTTTTATTTATTTAAATAAAAAAATAAAAATGATTATTCTCTATTTCTCTTCTCTATTTTCTTAAAAGGAAACATAATATTTCATTACAAGAATTCCGAACTTATTATTTTAGGGTTTATCACATAAAATGTATAATGTTTAAAATTATCCAACTTTTTTTTTAAAATTTTGATTACACAATCAAATATAATTATTTTTTATTTTTTATTTCTACTCACTCGCATGTTATACAATTAAAATTTAGTATCTGTTGTTTTTAAACAGACGACGACTTACTATATATCAGCTCGGAGTGGTGTATTCTTAATTTTTACTTAATTGAGTAAATACCGTAACATTTTCTTATTTCGTGTTACATAGTGCATTTTTACGTGAAACGTGTCATATTCGTACTGGTCCGTTTTCTATTAGAGTCTACACTAGACCATATCTGATGAACAAGTGGAACTGGATAATGCCACGTCATCACCTCAACAAAGGAAATTAAATGTCACGTGGGGTAAGACCTCACCGGAATATCGTCCACCGGCCGGCGAACTTCACGTTTTCCCGAAAACTATAAATACTTGTCTTTCTCGCCCATTTGGTGCCCTAGAAATTGAAATTTCCCCCATTTCGCCTCCACTTTTAGGCCGCAGCCATGAAAGTCTACTTCCTCTCTCCTCCCTAATCTTCCCCACTTCCCGCCCATTTCTCCTTCCAATACGTCGCCCTTTCACTCCCCTATTGACCGATTGAAGTCTTCGTCTTGGTAGCAGAGGATGTTGCGCTCTGTTTCAGTCTGGAAGACCTTCTCTCCTTCCAAATCTTCTAATTTGCTATCTGGAGGCGTTTTTGGGTTCGTCTTCTCTCAGATCGACTGAAGGGTGTGTGGCTGGCGCCTTTGGAGCCTGATGGATGGTGTGGAATTGAATTATCCGGTCAATGTTTCGAAGCTTAGGGTTAAAGAGGACTGTGATTCACTAGTTTCTTCCTCAATCGACCACTGTAGCAACTCCCATAGACATAAAGGTCGAATTCGTGATTCTATCTTTCTTGGAATGTTTTATTGTTCTATTTCTGTGGTTTTTCACTTGAAAATTGAAGTGGGTCTCGATCCGGCGATTTTATTTTTCACTTTACCGTTTGAAGTGAAGTAAAACCATCTAGTATATCTATTTTCTTTAACGGAACTAACAAACAATGCATTTGTTGGAATTTATTTTCTTTTTTTGGTTTGAAAGATTAACTGTTAAATTTAGGAAAAGGGATGAAGAAGGGAGGGGGGGGGGGGGGATGATCTACTGTTTGCATGTAGGACTGAAGCTCGTTATTGTTCATTTTTTCATACTTGGATTTCAATAATTGAGCTTGGTGTTATCCTCCTTTTTTTTAACGGTTGAAATGTTGTATGGCCCTTCCGTTCTTAATATATGGGTCCTTCACCCTTCTTTATCTTTTATTTTTTTCCCCTTTTTTCTTTTCTTTTTAAAAAAAAAAAAAAATTTTTGACGAGAGTTTTATTTATACCCTAAGGAAATCTGATTTTGCAGATGGGACTGGTAGCGTCAATGGTGTGGAGTCAGCTCTGAGGGATAAGATTCCTAATGCTGAACTTTGTAAGCATGCTGTTGAGCAATCGTGTTGTCAGGGTGAAGAATTATCTGAACAGCATAATTCCAAGGGTACCAGTTGTCCTGAATTTGTTAAGGTACAACGAAAAGCAGGGAGAATGTCTAGAAGTAGTGGTGGATATTCTAAGAGATCACGTGTTGCCCCACCGGAAGACACTGTGAGTCCAGATGGAATTGATGATGCAAAAGATATAACTGATATGCCAGGATGTTCTCCTATGAAGTGTAATTCTCCAGGTTGTAACTTTTTTTTCCTTCATCTTCAATTTGTACATTTATTTTATTTAGATGCATACTAGTCTTCCTAGATTTCAAATCATTAAAAAACTATCCTTTGATGATAGTCTTTATGATAAGGTGGTAGTGTTTTTTTTTTTTTGCATCTTTATAATTCTGCATACTCCATGGGTCAATTTAGTGCATCTCAGACAGTCTTTCTCCTTGTTTGTAATTGCACTGATTATTAGTTCTCTAATTTTTTAATCACATTATAGAGAATACTCAAACGGTGAAACAAAGGCACAACTTTGGTGGCAAGCGAGGTGAGAAGAGGAATTTCAAAATGTCTACAAAGCCCAAATATGACAGTTTCTCTATAAAGTCTGGTTTGGCAAACTTTGGTGTTGGTGCTGGTGGGAACAACTTCTCCGGTACGAGTCATATAGCATTTTTTATAATTTTATCTATTGTATATTATCATGCACCTGCATAAAACCACCTTAGCTGGTAAGTTATCTATATAAATGTCAGCATCACCAGTATTTTTTACCTGCTCTACATAGCATAAGTGGTAGTTTTACTACAATTGCCAGTGGCTGTCATGAGGTTTCTTGTCTCCTTTGGTTATGTTGCTACTTAGCATTTTTTCATTCATATTTACCTGGGTCTTTTTCCTTGATGGTGTTCATATGTGTGATCTTTGGCAGGTTTAATGTTTTGGGTAGATACTATTTACCAACCTCAAATTTAATGAGCATGTTGGTTTGATCTATTTATGTTCATTATCTATTTATCTATTTACCAACATTTGGACTCCATTCTCAGGACTATATGGCCTGAAGTCAGATATCCAAGATATAACGAAGCTTGTAGATGATATATCATTAAATGAACTCCTTGATGGCACCTATGAGTGCCTGAGTTTTGGCAAAGAGAAGGGAAAGAAAGCAGCTATGACGAATGGAAATTTCCTAGCTTCAGTTAGAAAGGCATGGTCTGTTCCTCATATTCAAAAACCTGTTCAGTCCCAAAATATTTCTGAAATAGATAGCTTTCCAAGCAAGAAATTGCCCACCTGTTTATCAAGCCCTGTTACTTTAATAGCAACGGGTATTAATGGTGGTAAAGAAGATTGCTGTCCAGCAGATCTATCATCTTCTAACCAGGTTAGTTTTGGGTAAAAACCCAATATATTAGTTCCTTTACCCTTGCATAGGATAGTTTGGCTCAACAAATAAAGTGGAAATTTAATGCCTCCCTTGGAAATCATTACAAGGCTTCCTCTCTGTTGGCTTCTGTTAGCTTTTGTCTTTTAGAATTCCCTATTTCCTTATTGCAACATTTTGTGTTTTCAAACTCTTTCAATCAGGTCTTTTGCCTATGTCATTGTTACTTTTCCCTCCTGCATTACTGATAAATAAATGATTTAATTGTATGCTCTTTCTTGTTCTGAAGACCCAGGATTCTTGTGGCAAGCCTGAAATGCCAGCTGGTCTTCTGGATTTCCCATCGTGTCAGCCTAAAGATGTCCTGGAGCGCTTGGCACTGCCTCCACCTAAAGATTTGGAGTTGTTGCTCCTAGATGCAGCTAAGCCCTCATCATCTTCAAGAAATATTTCTGATTTACGTTCATGCAAGCAAATATGTCGCCGGCCTAGCTTGCCTCCATTTCCCTGGTCACATAATTTTAATGGGCACTATAGAACCAATTCTGATGCAGTTAAGTGTCTAACAAGTAGGACTACTTGCCAAGGTCGATGGGTAAAAATAGCAAAGGCAGCTAGTTCTCATGCAAGTAGAACTTATTCTTGTACTGACTTAGAGACACTTACATATGATCAGAGTTTGGTTCCTTTGAAATCAAAGGCTGCTGGTTTAGAGAATAGGATTTTCCCATCCATTGGTGGCCTTCCGTTTTGGGGACAGGGTTCACCTTCTCTTGCAACCAATTCTAAAGCTTCCCAAGTTCCTATAGGTAAAAATTTTTTGGATTAGCTTCTTACTCTCTCCCCTTCATTTCTTTTCATGACACAGAAATGCTACATATGTATATGTGTACGCATGTATGCATGTGTCCAGTGTATTTCTTTGTCCCTTCATTTTTGGGCTAATGAGGAATTCTCTTTTCTTGAAATTGCAGAACTGGGATCTGCACTGAAGTATCAAAATAATGGTATGATTACTCTAACAAGAATTGATCTGATAATATTAAACCCCTTGGACAAACTAGAGAACTTGCATTCTATCCTCTCCCTCTATTTAGGCTTTGTAGATATTTTTCCTTTCATAGGTGCTGATCAAAAAAATATTTTTTTCTTCATAGGATTATGTTCTCTCCTTAAGGGGGAGTATTTTTGCCCCAGTTTCCCAATTTTCTTAGTTTATCAAGTAGCCCTGTTTAATGTAAATCGGTTAACTTTTTTGCTGGTTCTGGTAAGCCTTTTAATTTTTATACCAGGTAGCTATAGCAAACCTTATTTCAGATGATTTCCCTGATTAGTGAGATAATGACATGGGCTGCCTCTTGCATGAAATTTATTGTTTTCATTCCTATACCTAGTTTATTGAGGATTGGAAATTGCTAGATAACTAATCTGCATTTAATTGTTTTCTGAAGTGGTGGTTGTTTCTCTCTGTCATTTCCTTATTTACTTCTGTTTCTCACAGCTGACCGCTGTCCAAGACTGCTAGCTGCTGCTCAAACATTGTGTGACATTGCAAGTAATGGGTTTTTAAGATGGCCAAAGAAGCCTTCACAGAAAGCTATGAAAGCTCGCAAGTCAAAATTGAAAGAGAAATCTGAGGAGAAGTGTTCAACATCTTCGGTATTGGTGTCTGCCAAAATGGTGAGAAGCAATGTGGACAATGTAATGCCCTCAAAGAGGCTCAAGCCCTCCACAGCTGAGAACAAAAAGTATGTCAGCCATAAAACTTGTGTTAGAAAAGGAACAGCACCTTCACCTACCCCTAGATCACGTAGATCATCACCTGGCAAATCAGTTAGAGAGTCCATTCTTCATGTAAGACATTCTACTGCTACTGTTGTAAAGCAACAATGCATGATGAATCTGCCAGAAACGGCCTTGGATAATGCATGTAACAGTCAGCCTAAGCTTCGGAAACTAATGCCAGTGGACTGGAGCAGGGGGAGAGATGGGCTGGACTAATTTTTTCTTCTTCCAGTGCATAAATCTTCTTTATCTGACAATTCTTGCCATATCAATCGTTCTGTTGGGTTATTGGCAAATCCTGTTGATCTGTATATATTGTCTGTAGGCAAAATGGGATAGTTTCTTTTAGGATTTCAGCTGTAGGAGGAAGGATAATGTTGTGAGTAGAGGAATGTCATGTTGTAACACTTAAATTAGTTGCAGAATACAGCAGGAGAATTCTTTGCCCTGTGTAGAGCAATTGTTGAGGCAATAGAAATTTCAGTTTTTCTCTCCTCTCTACATTTATGTTCCAAATTCAAGTCATGATGCTATAATCTTTAATCTGTTTATTTAGTATTTTAGCCTAATCATCATTGTTGGGTACATTCAATCCCTTTGTGAATGAAACTTCAAACTAGGGCAAATATTTGGATTTCAAATGTCTATCGGAATTTCATTTTTTTTATTATTTATATGGGAATTTCATTTTTTTTATTATTTATATGGGAATTTCATTTTTTTTATTATTTATATGGGAATTTCATTTTTCTGGCCTTTTACCAAATTAAATTCAAAGAGCAGCTATACCATTTGTCAAAGATGAAACAAAATTACAGCTCAGAAGTGGACCAGCAGTAGTACTCATAACTTTTGCTTCAAAGGAATGTATA